AGGGAGGGGGTGGGGGCAGGGGGGAGAAATGAACCAAGCCTTGTATGCACATATGAATAATAAAAGAAAAATGAAAAAAAAAAAAAAAAAGATTTTATCAGCTACAACAGAAGCTACAAAAATGTAAGCAAACTATCCTCTTGAAGTGGTAGCAAATGCCTAGCAAGTGTAACTGGAGTTTGAGTTCAAACCCCAGGAGCACCAAAAATAAAATTAAAGTAAAAAAAAAAAACAAAACAAAGTCAACCTTTGATTTTTATTTTTGTAATTGCCACTCACCAAGTACACCGCTCTTTGGAAGAAGGTAGTGGTCTCCAAGATTTTGTGCATTGTAATAGTTTCCAGCTCATCAGGATCTAACTGCTCCTTTTCAAAGGGCATTCCATTGAACAGAACCACCGGCAGCAGACCCACACCAGTCTGCTCATAGTAGCCTCTTGCTTCCTAAGACCAAAGAGACCACAAAATCAGCACATTTTTGCCTCTCATGATACAAATGAAACAAGGTATATTTTCTTGTATGTCTGTTCTAACAAAGAAAAAAAAAACAAATATGAGAAAGAAACAAATATATTTCTTTAAAAACAATAGTGGCAACATAGTTAATATTAGACTGGGTAAATTTGAGATTGAGTTAGTGAGTTTTACATGTGTTGAAATCTTGATTCTGCTGAAGAACCAAAGGGGAATATCACAGACCAAACTCCTCAGAGTTCTGTTGTACAGTGCTGATCACAGTATGTGTAATTCAGTTTGAGTGACCGGGTTTACCTACACGAACACTTAACTGGCAAAGTTCTAGAGCATGTGCCTAGCATGTACAAGACCCTCTTCATCATATATACATACATACATACATAAGTAAATAAGTAAATAAGTAAGTATGCTGAAGTGATCCACTAATAAGTAAGGAAGGAAATAAATAAATAAATAATAAGTATGCTGAAGTGGTCCATTAGGGATCTTGGATTCCAGGCAGTGTTATACAACAGTGATGGCTAGGGACTTCATTTAAAGAAACCCATGAGCCAGGATGGTGTTACATTCCTGTAATCCCAGCACTCAGGAGGCTGAGGCAGAAGAACTGAGGTATAGAGGCTACCATGAAATACATAAAGTGCTCCAAGTCAATCTGAAAAATGTTAAAAAAAAAAAAAAAAAAGAAGAGAAAGGGAGAGGAGAGGGAGGGAGGAAGGAAGGAAGGAAACCCATGAACCACTGACTGGACAAAAACATGAATCAACCTGGATTGTGGCATTCGATTCTAGCACTTTGGTAGGGCATCAAGTATCTTGAAGACCACGGACTATCATCATTAAACATTCAAGAACTGAATTTGAATAACCTTACAAAAATGTACATACTCTCCAAAAGCTTCAAGTGTCACTTGTATTACAGCTCTCCATTGAACAGGCTCTCAAAGTAAAAGCTTAGAGGGACTAAAATTCATTAATACTTTCCACTTTACAGACTACAGCCATAGAAAGGGTGCTTTCCAAAAGTGTTTTGTGTTCCCACATTTTTACTGATAGAGAAGCATAAGCTTAGTATGATAAGTTTGGAATTAAGTCTTTGGTTGTATACTATAAAAAGATGAATAAGAAAATAAGGATGAAGTGGTAAAAATAAGCCCTGACTAAATACATAGGAAAAAGAAAAATTCCTTCTAAGAAGGAAGAAGACTATACACTTTCCTAAAACTAGAAATTAACACTATCAATGCTGTGGAATAGGTATGGATTAATATATTAGCAGTCCACAAAATTTGTTTACTAAGCTGTTTACTAAGTTGAAAACTTTCTTTTTTCTGGCACGAGGGTTTGAACTCAGGGCCTCACACTTGCAAGGCAGACACTTACCGCTTGAGCACTCTGCCAGCCCTGAGAACTTCTTTTTATATGTAATACAGCAGAATATTTTGTAATGCATTGTGCATAGTAAGATTAAATATTGTTACAGCCACATATATGTAAATATTCATATACTTGGTCAGTAAATAAAGGGTTTTTAATTTTTTTTCCTATAAAAAAATTTTTTTAAAGTGCAGAAAGAAAAGATTGCTTCTGCCCACAGAAACAAGTTAAATGACTGGAAAACTCAAAAATTCGAGGTTAAAACCAACTGAGGCTGAATTGGTGTAGGTCAGACAACTATAGAAGACATAGGAAGGGCTGAGGGTGTTGCTCAGTGAGAGAGTACGTGCTTCTGCATTTTATTTATTTATTTAATTTTTTTTTTCTGGTACTGGGGATTGAACTCAGGGCCTCATGCATGCTAGGCAAACATTTATCCACTGAGCTACATCCCCAACCTGCTCGTGTGTTTTAACAAAAAATGTTTTAGCATTGCATTTTGATTCCTTGCCTTACCATATATTTGCAGTAAACTGACCAACTTGTTCCTGCTTGCAATAGAGAAAGATCTTTCACTGTATTTAATGTTTCAGAAGAAAAAAAACATTAAATCAACATTTAAACATTAAATTATTATATCCTTATTATCAAACTTTGCTGTTTATTAATTTTTTCTTCTTTTTTTCCTTCGGTACTAGTGCTTGAACTCAGGGTCTTCACCTTGAACCACTCTACCAGCCCTATTTTTGTGAAGGGTTTTTCGAGATGGGGTCTCGCAGAACTATTTGCCTGGGATGGCTTCAAACTGCAATCCTCCTGATCTCTGCCTCCTGAGTACCTAGGATTACAGGTGTGAGCCACTGGCACCCGGCTTATTAATTTCTTGATACATTCTAATCCTTACTCTAAATAATTAAATAAAGCCAATATTATATATATTAAGCCATATATCATCTTCTGGCTGTATACTTCCAGTAGATTTTTTATTCAGAACATACTTCATATAAATACTACTATTGTTTTGTAAAAGAGGAGCTATTTCCAATTTAATAGTTAATATGCAAGTTAAAAATCAGTGATAATCTTCACAAAACTGAAATACTTACCACTTTTCCGAGCACTGAAAAGTGATGCAGTTTCAACGTTTTAAAGTGTTAATCATAATCACCACCATTAATAGCTGCCCCTCAAGTGACAAAGAAAGTACTCTGCTGCAGTCAAATGGAAAGTACAAAAGAATAGTCTTACCTTACCTTTAAAAAACTAGCTAGCATTTGTTGCCCTTAATGCAGAGAAACTAAAGCAGATACCTTAAAGCAACTGAGGCCAATAGGAAAAGGGGACCAGGA